TTCCCAAGTGTTATGAAACCTCCGAAGATTCTTTTCGATCAATCATCACACCCTTTTTCGTTAGACGGGCCATTTGCTTCCCTTTACTTTTGTAAGTCTCTCGTTTTCAACGTATATTCGTACCCTTTTCAAGAGCACTTTATCTTTATATACATGTATAATATTTTTAAGGAATAGTGTGGCAAACGAGTTCGTATCACCTGCTGGTAAGCAATCGTCATTAACCATAGACTCCCGCTACACAGGAGGACTTAGTTGCCTTCTCCTAAAAAAAAAACTAACTCAAGGAGGCGCATGTAAAATTGTGGACTAGATAATGGAATAAAACATTTTACTCACACGTATTTGTGTGACCCACAAATTGTTGTTCCGGGTCTGGGTATGATGTGTATGTGAAATTGTATGATTGTAAACGCACTCACTACACAGGAGAAAATCCTATGGTGGGGAAACGTATTTACAAAAAAAAATCAATGATGTAAGTTTTTTATATAAGTTTTGTCCATTTAGGGATACTAAATATGCATTAAACTCTAGAAATATTCGTTATAATAAATGGTAACTTTCTACGAACATCGAAATAAACTCTAACGAGAAGGAATCTCATGAATAACTGACCTAAAAATAAAATAAATGACTTTTTGTTCTCGTCTTTATACACATGGGCACGAAATTAATTGTTCCCAAATGATCCCATTTTCCTTGCCTGAAAATTGGCCGACTGAAATTCCCTTGTCGAGTTCCGTAGACCTCACTTTTGTTGCCAGCCGGTCCCCAAAGCTGAAGGTCAGCCCATTGAATAAGCCACAAAAGATTTAAACTAAATTTAGAACAGATTAGACGTAAATTAGGTAAACATTTTTTTGTCCTCTTGATTCAATCTTAGTTTACAAATTAGTCGAGTCACAACTGAGTTTTCAATATTACTATTTTAGTTTAAAAAAAGTTGCCCCATACTAGGATTTTCTCCTGTGTCGTGGGTGCGTTTACAAACATACAATTTCACATACACATCACACCCAGACCCGGAAAAAAAATTGTGGATCATACACAGAGTTATTCCGTACGGGAATCAAACCCGCGACACGTTGCACGGCAGCCAGTTGCCGAACCACCGCACCAATCGTGCGGTCCGGTACATTCTAGCCATGATTACTTGAAACTTGATATTACTTTTATTTATCCTAAATTGAATTTAAATCCATTTAATTTCCAGACCGATGAAAATGAGAAATTGATAATGTTTTTCACTCTATAATAATACGTTTACACCGCCATTCCATTTATAATGGATAACCTCAAACCCACAAATATTTGCTAGGTACAACAAAAACCTTTTTAAATTATTACGTTAATAATTGATTAACTAAGTAGGTATTGCATTTGCATTCTGTCTCTCGTCACAAACATTTGAATATCTATTTATCTATATCTATACTAATATTATAAAAAGGTAAATTTGTTTATAAGTTTGTAAGTAGAGGGTAATCTTTGGAACCGCTGGTCGGATTGCCAAAATTCTTTAACTGATAGATAGCTACAATGTTCCTGAGGCTATAAAACATCGCGCTAGGATTTAATGGCGCCGGGCAGCGAGTGAAACCGCGCGAGAGTAGCTAGTTTATTGATAAAACTTTTTATTAATAAATACAACGTAATTGATGTACTTACCCTTCATAGATGCTGAAAACTTTGTTTTTTTGGTGATTGATATCCTTTTGGTAAAGGAGCAGATGCATTGATTGTCTGATGGCAAGCAATCGGCGCGGGTGCCGCAAATCGACAATCGAGCAGAAGAGTTTGGAGTGCGTTGCCGAACTTTTAGGGATTAGGGTTACGGAGATTTAGATATTGGGGAGGGGAAGAAGGATTGGGCATCCGGCAACCTTACTCACATGACGAAACACAACGCTTTTGAATGCTGATAAAGCAAAAGGGGGTATGCCGAAATCGTGACATTTAGAGTCGCATTGTCTCCGTCTTATCCGATAGAATAATAGATAGATATATTATTATATATGTTTTTTATAATCCTACATTTACGTAAATTTTCACTTTCTTCATTTTTATAAAAAAACAGAGATAAGAATTATTACAGAGCCAGAAAAAAAGATGTTAACGTTCAACCAATATGTATAACAGTCTTTGAAACGAACTACAATAAAATGTTTCATACAATTGCATTATAAAAACTACACAACGCTTACATATACAACTAAATGGTACAGTCGTGAACAGCAATTGCCACTGCAGCCAACATACGCATCAAAGTTGTGACGACTTTTATTTTCAACGCATGAAAGTTATGCAATATTATAGTTGTGAGGTTGCAAGCACTTGTGAACGCGACTGTATTTTACAACGATGTAGTTTTACTAGATATTTTTTAATGACAAGTTAAAAAGCTATTTGTTTCTTGATTGGACCTATCTGTATGTTAACCATCTTTTTTTTTTATAGATTTCATTTTATATGAAAATTATTTTGTTTTGTTATTACTTTAAATCACAATCAAAGAAATTCAAGTTCAAAAGATATTAAAGTAATAAACAAATCAGCCTTGAATTTTACTAGCTACTTTCATGCCGTTTCACCAGTAGCGTGATATTTTATAGCTTTTAACCTTCCTCTATCCTATATAAATAGACTAACAAACAAAAAATTATTCAATTTCAACCAGTAGTTCCGGAGATTAGAGCGTTCAAACAAACAAACTCTTCAGCTTTATAATATTTGTATATACTTCTAGCTGAATGCACGATTAAGTTTTTAACATATCTAAATTTAATTTTTTTACATAGAAAAATACCTATTCAACAAATAAAACACTAAACTTTATCTTACAAGAGTATAATACAAGTAAAAGGGAAATTAGAACAAACCCTAAAGCCATCACTTCCAGTCGATTACAGATCCATGTTTATCCAGGTCAGAGCACTCAGGTACAGTTGATTGCAAAAGTGGAGCGTTTTCGAATAGTTATTAAGAGTCGGAGAGCCATTGTTAGTACGTTAATCAGTTTTAGAAAACAGATAGGTAGGTACTCTTACACAGTGCTCACGATTGTTTTGCGATAGAGTTATTATCAATCGTAAATACAAAATGAGAAATGGAAACGATATTTTAATTTAATTAGTGTATTGATAAACAATAATATACTCAAATTAAGTCTATTATATGATGATGATGGACAACCGGTTGCCGCGCAATGTGATATACCTTTGATTCCCGCTAGGAACAGAGGGCCTACCATGACGTGGTAAAGCGTGAATCTTTCGGGCGAGAAAGAGGGATGTAGCTATACACCTTCAATAGCTCCATTCCTCTTTCTCGCCTGTTACCTACAGTTTTTTGTGTGATTCACAAATTGTTGTTCCGGGTTTGGGTGTGTGAAAATGTATGTTTGTGACGCAACTACAGCACAGAAGAAAGGCCTAAAGAGGATGAGTGTCGATGATCGACGATGCGTTTCGTGCATGCCGCAAAGAGCCTTTAACAGAGTCCACTAGGGTCTTCGACCACTCGGGGTTGCGCTTACTATAATAAAGTGCCAGAGTTCGGTTCATAGCAAGAACTTGAGTGGATTTTAATCAGTAAGAAACCAAGGCTCCCAGTCGTTAACAAAAAATTAAATATCGCAAAGAAAGGCTTTTTAAATAAAATACTTGCATATGGCTTGATACCTTTTTATTACCTAAGAGATAATGTAATATCCAGTTTTTAACAGTTTTGGTGTGAATTCCGCAAGCAGTGAGCCTACTGCCTAACACAGAAGTTAATTCCAGACTGTTAAAGAATAGATGCAAAATTAATTTTGTAAAAAAACCTTTATACATACGTACATTCGTACCAACATAACACTCGTATAGCGAGGTGCAAACAGAAAAATAGATCTCTGCTTACAAAGAACTGGAAATAGCAAACGCAAATCCTACCTCTATTTGCACGTACGGAGTCAAACTAAAACCAGCTGCGGCGATATCATTTCCAGTCGATTTAAAATCTATGTTAATTCAGGTCACAGTACTCGGGTAACAGGCAAGTACAAAACAAGAGCGGAGCGTGCTTAAATATGATTACCAAGAACATTTTGTCGTGAATTATACCATTTTTTTTCAACGTAACATGCCGCAGAAGAAATTATATGCGCGGAGTTAACCTTTAAAAACCGATTTTATGCTATTAAAGTCGCGTTTGTGAACGTAAATTCTAGATGTAACAGCTATTTATTAGGAAATATTTGCAATTATTGAATTCTGATAGTTCTCTTCTTGCTTTGTTAGACGTTAGTGCAATTTATAGGGCAGCTCAACCCAGAGGTTTTGTTCCGAAAATTGTTGTTGTTTTATCGATTTTTACTTTCATACTAGCAGATGGCCCCGTCTGTGGTGGTTTATTGGCTCTTTCAGGCACTCGCGGAACGCAACGCGTTGTATTTTTGGGTCTAGTTCTGGTCGCCATTGGCAAACCTGCGCTGCAACCACTTATGGTGGCCGGAGATCGTCTCTCGGTACATCTAAACACCTAAAGTAACATTATGGAATGCAACACTCGTTTGAGTTTGTGTTTGAAATATATCGAATACCAGTGAAATCGGTATTAAAGATTATGTATAGTTACTAGGCTATCAGAAGTGAATGATACGTAGCTACTCAATCAACCAGTTATCATGCCTATAAATAATAATTATATTTGCCTACGTGCTACTTGTATGAAATAATAACTTATTTAATCATCTATCAAAATGCCATTAATCTGCATACCAATATAAATGATTATCGCACTCCGAAAAATTTATACTATAATACCATTATCAATGAATTCAGGTGTTTTCTTAATATAAATAGGAAAACTGACGTCAATCTTTTGATAAGTAAGTCGAAACTGTACGTGTTGATGAAGACTTTCTTCTAAGTAAAAAACAGTAAAACCAGACGAATATGGGGAAGTTAAATAAAGTATTAAGAGAAACAATATTAAAATAAATAATTTATTAATTACATCATTTAAGATTTCACTATAAATCCATTGTCAGTCACGATAGCCGAACCAGTTATACCCTTAGACTTTTCGCTCGCTATGAACAAAACGAGATCAGCAATTTCTTCAGGTTCTGAAACCCTGTTTAAGGCAGTCATATCTTGCATTCTTTTGAAAACAGCATCTTGCATTTCCTTGGGTGCTCCCATATTTTCAATTATATCTGTTCGAACGGGTCCTGGATTAACCACATTAACTCGAACTCCATGTGGAGCTAGCTCTAATGCCACAGCTCTAGTAAAGTGATCTAGACCAGCCTTTGATGCACAATACGCGAAACTGTCAGGTAAAGCCCTCATACTAGCAACGCTCGAGATATTTACAATGTTACCTTTTGAATTTACTAGATGTGGCACAGCGAGGTGGGTCAAGACAACAACTGCACGAAGATTTGTTGCCATCACTCTGTCATAAACTTCAATTACACCTTCTTTCTGGATATCTGTACTACCTCCTATACCAGCATTATTGATCAAAATATCAATTTTTCCCAAATATCTTATGGTTTCTTCGATAATCCTTTTGGCGTCATCATCTTTAGAGACGTCAGCAACGATTACTACAGGATTACCACATTTCTTCGCGACGTTATTCAGTTTCTCCTGGTTTCTGCCCACCAACGCTACTTTGGCACCTTCTGCTGCGAACTTTATGGCAATTGCTGCACCAATGCCAGAACTAGCACCGGTCACAAGCACCACTTTGTCTTGGAAACTCATGATAATAGTCTCACAACGAAAGTAAATTTCAGACTGCCTCAGTTATTTCATGGTATTAATTTATATCGACAAGTGTATCTTATCTGGTAATTCATTTTGATAACACTATCATTTTATTTACATAATAATTAATAAGTTTAAGCAATAAATGGGTAAAACACATTCAAAGAAAGCATGAAAAATACATTGAAATGCCAATCGTTACCTAGTTAAAATAATGGAATAATAATCGTCTTACTCCCTTTTTCAGTAAAATCTTTTCGGCCCTGAGTTAAGCGTTGATATACTCGTAAATGCCACGTGAGGCTAGTCCAAGTGTCAAACCTCTAGTGAAGTCATCTAAGACAGCTTTTACTGCTCAATATCCAAAAAAATTCAACATTCATCGATTTCAAACTAAGAACGTTACATAATTACAATTGTTTACAATTTTTCCGTTAGTTTTCCCCATTAGATCTTAGAATAAAAACAGCTTAAATCAGGTTTGTAGTTAGCAATTTGTCAAAAACTATACTTATAATTGTAACATCAGCATTATTCACCAAAATATCAATCTTACTAAAATATGTAACAGATTATTCAAAATTATTTTTTGGATTGTCATCTCTAGATATGGCGAAAACGATAATTAAGGGATTACCGATTTCTTTCGCTATGTTGTTTTTAGTTTTGCCCGTACCTACAACTTTAGCTTCTTCTTCTGCAAACTCGGTGGCTCCTATGACACACCTAGCATTAGAAACAACTACGACTTTGAAACTTATTTCTCCTATTTTAATGACGAATTTTAAATATTTGCTTTACATAAAAAAAACTTTTTTTTTAAATTCATTGTCGACTTGAATAGACGACGGACCGCAATTCTGTTTATGATACTAATTGATAATGTATATAGTTTTCTGTTAATTGTTCTGATTATAGTTCTGACGAGTACAGCCGTTGTTATTTTTATATCACTTCTGTCAGGTTATGAAATAATACTGTGAAACAATATATTTTCCACATTATCTGATAAAAATTGACTCCTGACATAAAGTAGTTTGGCTATCCAAATCAATTGATTTTTATTTTTGCCTCATAAAAGGTGCCTATTTCGTTAAATTTGTTATTACGTATAAAATACTTAGCGAGCCAGACTTTGCTGTTATTATGGCTGAAAACGCTTACCTAGTACCTTCTTATATTCGTTTATGAAACTATTGCTCTCACTGTGAGTACCTACGGGTATGTGTTACGTTTTGAAGTTAAAGCTAATGTTTTGTTATTAAAAATATACGAGCATATACGTATGGATAAATACAAAAGAGTAACAAAAACATCTTAAGTTGCGAAATATTACTTAACATTTCAATATCATTCCGTTATCACTAACTAAAGATGAACCAGCGATAGCATGTACCTTATCGCTTGTTACTTATAAATAAAACAGGATCAGCAATATCTTCGAAAACTGAGACCCGGTTGAGTGCCACCAATTCCTTAGCATCTTCCATTTCTTTAGCAGCTCCCATAATTATCACCAATGTACTGTTCGTATACGTCCTGGGTTAATCACGTGGGTTTGTTTTTTTTTGTTTAATAAATATCAAAATATGTACCTACTTTATTTAATTTCAGGCCGAGATTAATCTTAACTAATATTATAAATGCGAAAGTAACTCTGTCTGTTTGTCTTTCTGTCTGTCTGTCTGTCTGTCTGTATTTTCTTCACGCCTAAACTACTGAGCCGATTTCTGTGAAATTTGGTACAGACATAGTTTGGAACTCGAGAAAGGACAGAGGATAGTTTTTATTCCAAAAATCTGCAGGAAGTAACTTTTCCACGTGAACAAAGTCGCGGGCAAAAGCTAGTGTAAAAATAATACATTATTATTATCTTCATTTTTTGCGTTATAAGCTAAATATATTTATTTTTATTTAATTTTTTTTCCTAATTGAATATTAATAATAAACATTATGAGTGATATTGCAGATTTGTAACATTTGTCCCTTATACCCTGTATTTCATATTTAGAATAAAATCTGTGTTCGATAGTTGAACCATGTTCGAAGTTCGAAACTTCACAAAACCGTTACATCACCGGTTAGACAGTTGGAATACTGCAGTGTTTCTTGAATAACGTCAATCCTAAGTCATGTTTCTCATTTCCAACTGATGTTTAATTAAAATATAGAGATTTGACATACATACAATACGGGATTTCTCAAATGCATATATGTAATTATTATGCTGTCTGGAACAGGGCCCAGTGGACTCGCCTTCTGTATATCAACCTAGAGTACTGTCAGACGGTACAGGTATCTTGGAGCTAATCATCGCAGATCGTCTAGTTAGCCACTTACTTACAGAATTTCGAATGCGAATTCTATATCTTGACTATATCATTTTATCTAAATTCATTTAACCATTGTAGCATGGAATGGACAGCTTTCGACAGAGGGTCTCATTCATTCCAATGATATATAGAAACCAAAATGAATTTATAACCATTGAAGATGTTATTCTTTTCTCTTTTATAGCCGGTATCTATTTTTTTCTCATTGTCGTTTTTGGAATGTAGGTATGCTACATACTATGTATCCATAATTTCTTGCAATTTATGCTGGAAGACGTAAATTATCTCATCCACGTTAAGAAAACCACAAAAACCTTGTTAACTTTGGTATTTTGTTTTTAGTTGCTTGTGCTACAGTTGTCTAGTGCTACAGACAGTAGCTGCAGGTAGTACCGACCTTCGCAATTATTTATTAACATTCTTGGATAACAATTATGTTAATTATTATAAGGAACAATGGATGTGAAATGTTACTTTCAAACAACAACCCTAAAAAATATCTAATGTGATAATAAAATCAAAATGTCATTCTTAGTTTTCTTTTCACACATACTTCTAAGTTTAGAAATCTATATAATAGCGTGTTTTATATGTACAAACATCTTTGACAACAACAATGGCTAGTCGTAGCAAAAAAATTATCATTTTAGAAATTAAATAAAAAAGTTTATTTTCAAATCATACAATTATGTGTTTGAATGTTGGCTGACGCTTAAATATCTAAAGGGGACGTGACATTGCTTTTTAACATCATTCCATTATCAGTAACAATTGATGATCCTGTGATGGCCTTGGATTTGTCACTAGCTACGAACAAAATAAGATGAGCCACCTCCTCAGAATCCGAAATTCTTGCAAGTGCAGTCATGTTTGGCATACGGTTGTAAGCCGCTTCCGCCTCTTCCTTAGTTGATCCCATATTTTCAACAATATCTGTTTTCACTGGACCAGGATTGATCACGTTGACGCGCACGCCGTGAGGAGCTAATTCAAGTGCCACAGCTCTAGTGAAATGATCTAGACCAGCCTTTGATGTACAATATGCAGAAAATCCAGGAATCAATCGGTAAGCAGCAACGCTTGATATGTTCACAATGTTACCTTTTGTTTTTACTAGATGCGGTGCAGCAAAGTGCGTTAGGACAACTACGGCGCGCAAATTTGTAGATAGTATTTCATCGTAACCCTTTATTACACCTTCATCTAGTATATTTGTAGTTTTGCCTATACCAGCATTGTTCACTAAAATATCGATCTTCCCAAAACGTTTTACGGTTTCATCAATAATTCTTTTGGCGTCTTCATCCTTAGATACGTCGGCAGCGATAATTAAGGGACTGCCGCACTGCTTCGCTACATTGCTCAGCTTTTTTTGATTCCTGCCCACTATCGATACTCTTGCTCCTTGTTCTGCAAACTTTATGGCAGTGGCAGCTCCAATACCGGAACTGGCGCCAGTCACAATCACTACTTTGCCTTTGAAGCTCATGGTGTAATACTATGTTACAGACACTGTATATTGTAAACTAATTTTTGAAACTTGTTCCAAGTAATTTATACAAAAAGATTATCTACATAATCTAATCTAACAAGAAAAACGAACTGTCATTCTTAATTTTCTTTTTTTTTAATGTTAGTTAATTTTGTCATTCTTGTATAATATTTAGTACGATCGAGTGTGTTTAGAAGTTAAAGTGTAGTGTCCGAAAATTTAGCAGGAACTCGCACCCAGCTCTTTCACTGTCACGGCTTCCCAGTTCCTCTCGCTCCGTACCATGACCTCGACTAAGGCCGGACGCGAAAGGTCGCTGCCAGCGGTCACTTCCCTGAGGACACGGTGGTGCTTAGCCCAAGCAGGGCACACCGCCATTTTATGCTCAACCGTATCCTTTGGGTGGTCCTCACAATGACAACACCCGGGGCGTTTCCTCCCGTCGGATCCAAAACATGAACCTACTGAAGCTGCCGTGCCCGGTAAGCACCTGCGTCAGCCGGAATGTGAGGACGTCGTGACGTCTTTTTACCCACTTGTCATAGAGGGTTCTTACCGCTGCTGCTCTAACTTGTGAATAAATTTTATAACTCCGCGTAAGAATTCCTAGATGATACATTTTGAAAATTTATTGTAATGCCCTGTTTCTGGTCTGCCTACTTAGTACCTAACCCTAACCTAAGGTACATTGTTTCACTAGGTTTAATAATTTTACCATCCTGGGGTTGCGGGGTAAGCGCAATAAAGTACCGCGACCTCGGCACAGAGCAGGAGAAGGAACAGGGGGGTTTTTAGTCAGTAAGAGTCTGACACTCCCTCCTGCCCGGCCCTGGGCGGGAGAAGTCATTTGATGATTTTCCCCTCACAAAAAAAAAAAAAAAAAAAAACCATCCTGTTTATGTATTTTTTATGTGTATTTACTTATTTACTCTTGAAGTTGATTTTCACATATTTAAATATAGAAAACACATGAAAAGATAAGATTGTTTTTTTAAGTGTACATATATTATACATTATATTATTATTATTAGTATTATATACAATTTGTCCATTTATGAAAATATGAGTACTCTGTCAATGAAAAAGTACACTAGTAGAATGTACTTGTGCCAGCTTGGAGTAATCATGTTCACTCGCACTTTACACGGCTCGCCCCCCGGTTGATGGGAGCCGCTGCTGCGCTGTCGCGCTTGCTGCCCAACCAGGGGGGGCCCATCTCCTCCTGCCGGAGGCTCTACATGGGGGTCGTACGGTCGATGGCGTTATACGCCGCGCCAGTATGGGCGGACACCCGGACGGCCCGCAACATTGCCGCGCTGTGGAAGCCACAGCGCGCGATGTCCGTCAGGATAATAAGAGGATACCGTACGATCTCCTTTGAGGCAGCGAGCCTCCTAGCCGGATCCCCGCCCTGGGACCTCGACGCAAAACTCGCGTCGCTCTGTTGGTGGCGCGTGGAGGCAGTCGAGCGGGGCGAACGCTTGGTGCCTCGACAGGTTGAGGCACGCAGGGCAGAACTCCGCCAGGCCTTGATGGCGGAGTGGCAGACACGTTTAGCGCAACCCACAGCGGGGCACGCCGCTATAGAGGCGGTAAGGCCCGTTCTAGAGGGGTAGCTCAATAGGAGCCTCGGTGCCCTTAGCTTCCGGCTGACGCAGGTGCTTACCGGACACGGGTGTTTTGAGAAGTACCTGTGTCGCATAGGTAGGGAGCCGACGTCTCAGTGCCACCATTGTAGTAATTGCCGCGACGGACAGACTCGGGGCGTCTTGTCGTCTGACCAGCAGCAGGCCTCGAGCCAGCGCCGTGTTCCGCGCGCGCCTCATAGTTGAGTCCTGCGGTCGGGGTGACAGCCGCAGTGGGTGACGGAACCCGCCAAACCATCTGGCGGGCCAATACCCGTCGGGGGGTTGCGACGAATGCTTCGGCAATACCCACCCCTACAAAACATTTGTAAGTGGAGGAACACGGGTTGGTTTTTAGTCAGTAAGGGTCTGACAGTACCCTTCGCCCTTCTCCGAGGGCGATGGGTCTCCAAGAGGATTTTGCAACCCGATACAAAAAAAAATATGTTCACTCAAAGGTTTTATTGCTAGCGTGACCATTGGATCGCTTGATTTTTGCAATATGGTTGGATAGACTTTTTGAGAGGGTAAAATTATGAAATGAATTTTCCCTTCCTGGCTGATGCGGGATAGATTATGAGCATCACCTGGATCACCTGGCTGAGATGGGCGATGCTAGTGTGGACAGATTTCATGATTTGGGACTGATCGGCTCTAAACTGACTTAATAATATTGTCCTTGAGATTATATCCATAGGAACTACACTTAAAAACAGCTTTACTAAAGGACTGACCAGGATTGACCGACAGACTGACACTTTTTATCATTAAAAGTCAAAAATAAATTAAATTGAAAATGTAAAAGTATATTTGCTGATCTGACTGTTCATAAAGCTCGCATTGTTCAACTTGTATATTTTATGCTATTGGTTAAAAATATATTTTGGGATAAGAGGTAGGGTAGGAATTTTTTGCTTTCTAATGCTAACAATCGCCGAGATTATCCAAGGACGGACAGACAGACAGACATGACGATATAAGAGTTCCTAGTTAGCTATGAAACCCTAAAAATGAAATATTTTAGTAATGAAATAAAAAAGTTTATTCACAAATCATACAATGTATTTGACTATTGGCTAACGCTTACATATCTAAAGGGGGCGTGTCACTGCTTTTTAACATCGCTCCATTATCAGTAACAATTGATGATCCCGTGATGGCCTTGGACTTGTCACTGGCTATAAACAAAATCAGATCGGCCACCTCTTCAGAATCCGAAACTCTTGAAAGTGCAGTCATCTTTTGCAAACGATTGAAGGTTGCTTCTTCTATTTCCTTCGTTGCTCCCATATTTTCAATAATGTCTGTTCTTACAGGTCCTGGATTAATCACATTAACCCGAACACCCTGTGGGGCTAGTTCAAGTGCGACAGCTCTAGTGAAATGATCTAGTGCTGCCTTGGATGTACAGTAAGCGAAATTACCTAGAAATACTCGATACCCAGCTACACTTGATATATTCACAACGTTACCTTTGGTTTTTACTAGATATGGTGCGGCGAGGTGCGTCAGGACAACCACAGCGCGAAGGTTTGTAGATAGTATTTGGTCGTTAACATTTATAACACCTTCATCTAGTATATTTGTAACTCTGCCTATACCAGCATTGTTCACTAAAATATCGATCTTCCCAAAACGTTTTACGGTTCTTTCAATAATTTTTTTAGCGTCTTCATCTTTAGATACGTCAGCAGCGATTATTAAGGAATTGTTGCACTTCTTCGCGACGTTGCCCAGTTTCTCATGGTTTCTGCCAACTATCGCTACTTTAGCTCCTTCTTCTGCAAACTTTATGGCAGTGGCAGCTCCAATGCCGGAACTGGCGCCAGTTACAATGACCACTTTGTCTTGGAAGCTCATGGTGTATTACGATGTTGCAGACACTGTATAATGTAAACTAATTAAATAAACTTGTTCTAAGTAATTTATAAGAAAAGATATCTAATCTAATAACTAATCTAATCTTATAATAAAAACGTTTGTCATTCTTAGTTTTCTTTCTTTTTATTTTAGCTTATCTTCTTTCTTGTTTATATGTAGTACAATCGAATATGTTCAATATAGTTAGTGTCTGAAAATTTTGCTGCTCAGTTAGGCTGTTGAGGAGATAAAAATATCAAATAACTTCACCCTCCTTGGCTTGGCAGATGTACATGAAATCGGTCTGGGTGAGTTGGGCACTGACTGTGCCAGTGTGTGTGTACGTGTCAAGATCGTGAACATGCGTCGTCATTTGAGACTGAGTGGCTCCAAGCAGTATAAATATAATATATTGTCATTGAGGCTATATTCTTTTTTGGTAAAGTGTTCTCAAATAATGGAACTAAGTGAAACTGGAAATGACAAACCATGCACTTTCTTGCTTGTCCTCCATAAGAAATTTCATAAGAAATACACCATATTTGGAACGAGCCAATATAGCTTTAGTAGAGAACTAACTACTACAATACTCTTCATAAACAAATAAATTTTATTACCCAAATAAAATTGAAGATGCGAAAGTAAAACAAAAATGGGGCAGGATATTTTTTTTAACACACAAACATAAAATATGGTGAAATCCTTAGAATACCTAACACAAAAACCATCTCACTATTAACTCGTCGCAACTAAGATACAAACATTTTACATTTTTAGATTTAAATATATGAATATGTTTATTAATTATATGACCAAGATACATCTGAATTATCTTATCTATACATGATACTATGGTAATCGGCCTGTAACTGTTAACTTCTTTAAGAACCATTCTTACGCATTGGTCTTATTTTTTCGATTTTCAATTTATCTGAGTACGTCGACCTTGAAATGCATGGGTTTAGTAATTGTGTTAAAATAGGGGAAACTTTCACATAATATATAATATTTGACATATATAGTGTGAATACCAGGAATTTTTTTTGCAATTACGTTTTTTATTATAAAGTATACAATGTCGTAATAGGTTTTTTTGTAATCGCATAGATAGATTGGTGCTTTTCTTATAGCAGTTTACATCTAGAATAGGTATGTCATAGTGTATACATATATTTTTAACATAATATTTAGGATTGTTTTGTCTACAGAACTTAGAAAACGGAAACTACCTATGCATTTAAATTCAGAGACTCTCCTTTTTTCAAACCACCTAACACATTACAGAGCGATTTGATGTTGCAATAGTTGAAAATTTTAAAAATTTCTGTTAGATTAGTTTAAAAATTGATTAATTTAAAATTACTCTTAGGTTATTAGTGTGGGAGATCCAAGCTTCGGCACGAATGGGTCGGCTCGACCGGAGCGATACCACGGCCTCACAGAATACCGGCGTGAAACAACCCACAGTGTTGAGTTTCGCCGTGTGAGTGAGGTTACCGGAGGCCCGATTCCTTCCCTTCCCGATCCTTATATCTGCAACGCCTATCCCTAAAAGGCCGGCAACGCACTCGTAACTCCTTTAGTGTTGCAGGTGTCCTTGGGCGGCGCCGATAGCTTACCATCAGGTAATCCGTCTGCTCGGCTGTTTGCCGACTTATACCATAAAAAAAAGATATTTCTTACAAGTAATGAAATCAGGAACTATTTCAATACAAAAAGCTTTATTTTTCCTCTTTTAGTTACGCTTTGATGGTGTCTGTGGGTGGGGACTACCTGATGACAGGATCGCATGCGATTGCAAGGTTGAAAAAACTATTAATTTGTAGATTTTTGTACTTCAGGTTGATTATTAGTAGCTTTGAGTTTAGAAATTCACAGCTTTGCCTAGAAATTTTAAACTAACTCTATTTCACAATTTTTATTACATGTACAATTAATACGGCTAAAAAATCGGACAAATGAAATATATTTAGCAATAAAAATAAAAAGGTATATTTATAATTCACATGATGTATTTCATCTTTGATTGATGCTTAAACATCCAATGGGGACATGTCAGTACTTTTTAACATCGTTCCATTATCAGTAACAATTGATGATCCTGTAATGGCCTTGGATTTGTCACTGGCTATAAACAAAATCAGATCGGCCACCTCCTCAGAATCTGAAACTCTTGAAAGTGCAGTCATTTTTTTCATACCATCGAATGTTGCATCTGACATTTCCTTTGTTGCTCCCATATTTTCAATAATATCTGTTTTTACGGGTCCTGGATTAATCACATTGACGCGAACACCTTGCGGAGCTAATTCAAGTGCGACAGCTCTAGTGAAATGATCTAGTCCTGCCTTGGACGTACAGTAAGCGACACTACTTTGAAATACTCGATGTCCAGCGATACTTGATATATTCACAATGTTACCTTTCGTTTTTATTAGATGTGGTGCGGCGAGGTGCGTCAGGACAACTACAGCGCGAAGGTTGGTAGATAGTATTCGATCAAAAGCTGGTATAGCGTCATTGTCTTGTATATTCATTCTATTCACTATGCCAGCGTTGTTTACCAAAACATCGATCCCTCCAAAATATCTTAAGGTTTCATCAATAATTCTTTTTGCGTCTTCATCTTTTGATACGTCAGCAGTGATAATTAAAGGATTGCCGCATTTCTGCGCGACTTTTTTCAGTTTCTCCTGGTTTCTTCCTACTAAGGCTACTTTAGCTCCTTCGTCTGCAAACTTGATGGCAGTGGCTGCTCCGATACCAGAACTAGCACCGGTTACAATTACAACTTTGTCTTGGAAACTCATGGTTACACAATGATTTTCAACGTTTATCTGAATGTCTTTGCTCGTCGTAAGTATTTTTATACTAGCAAGATATGGGCTATCTTATCTACTGAACTGATTGTCGTAATTACTTAATAGGAATTGAAAATATTATTTTTGCGTGGCTTGTTGCTTAAGGGTGACACCGATGCAGTAAATCTGCTGAATTTGTCAACACTTTGATTCAGGATTTCAAGATAATACGGATTTGGTTATACGTCGACCGCTGCATTAAGATACTGTTATACTTTTTTAACTGCAAAGTATCAAAAATGTCACTGCACTACAAATATCAACACATCATATGTGTTGCACCCTAGCAATACAAAAACTACTCGACGAATTTTAACAAAACTTGGTACATATATTTTTTATTCACCTGGGCAGGTTATAGAATACTTTTCATCACGCTACAAATAATAGGAGCAGAGCAGTGAAAGGAAATATCGGGAAAACGGGAGAAGTTACTCCCTATTTAAGTTTCCGTCGCGTGTGTAGCCTTAATGGTTAAAGTTACATAGAAATTATGTATGGCGAAAATATTCTACATAAAATTATCTAAAAAAAAAAATGTTTTGCAGCATACATCTATCTTGTATGGTTAACTTACAATAGCACGTGTAACTCCTGATAACTTAGCAGTTCGGATAATAAGCCATCGCGCCGGCGCACGTTAACACTGAATTTTAGTGTAATGGTTGCCGCGACGCGGTATAAAATATAATATAATTTAATAGGTTTTATGAAATATTTGTAATACTTACTTATTTGTTAGGTATTTACCATTCTATCTATGGAGGGAGGGATAGCGGAGGCATAGTCTCTCGCCCAGGGTAAGGCGAGAGATAGTGTCAGACTCTTACTATAATATACTCTTACGTCTTCTATAATTTAAAAGGACTTATCACAGACAACTGATGCCTAGTCTGGTTTCTGTCATACCCGAGTAAAGAGCTAAGTACATAATAGGGTGTATACCCATTGTAGATGTACCCATAAAAATGAGACGATTTATAACAAATTTTATGTATACTTTAATTTTGTTCTAACACAGCACGCGGGCGAAGCCGCTAGCGAAAGCTAGTATTCTATATATTTTTAATAAACAGTGGAAAAATTGAGGCTCGTGACTGGCATCATGAAAAATAACAATCGACTTCATATAAGTACAATATCAGTAATATAATAAGTGCAATATAAGTACAGTCAATTTATCTCGTACATGGTGGGTATCTTAAACTTGCGAGATAAGCTCCTAATGTTTTTTTATGTAGTATGATGACAAACGGGCAGTCTGTTTACCTGATGTTAAACAATCGGCGCCATACATGGACGACCAGTACACCCGAGGAGCTATGAGTGTGTTGCTGGCTTTTTTTGGATATTAAGGAATTGGGGAAGGATAAGAGGAGGGAAAAAACATTAGGCCTCCGCTAACTTCCTAGCATGTAATACCAATTATTACTATACTATACTATATGCTATACTATATATGTTATATTATTGAAATTGTAAAACATTTTTTTTAAAAGAGTAACGAATGGAGTTTCCTTCTCGTTCTTCTCCATTCGAATCTACAATTTGGAATGAGCACCTAGCTTCACTGACGAACAGACTGACAGACTACTTCTCTATTTTGAAGTTTCTAAAGTACATATTTATGGTTTAGTTGGAATTAATGATTTTGACTCTGACTTTGACTTGACTTATTAATCGTGTTTAATAACTGGTGAAAATATTTCTAGACTTATTTCATTGTATTTATTTATTTATTTATTTTAATAGGCACACAAAACAGGATACAATCAATAACATTACAGAATATCTATAAAATAAGTAAAACAGATCCAGTCCGCATCCCTACACATGTGTACACTGCATGATTATTAGGCAATTATATTATGCAGGAAGTGTTATAATATAAAATATTTAATAACTTAATTAAATTAATTGATATTTGAATTAGATTGATTGATTAATTGAATATTGTAATATTGATTTATTAATTAATTAAATATAATTAATTATAAATACTATTATAAATTTAATTAGAAGAATAAAAATTACAATTAGAATTTCAATTTTGACATATTCGACCTATTTTATATTTGAATTTAAAAAATCTATGATCAAATATATCTAATTCTTTGCTATGTTCGTGAAGTAGCTCGTTGTAAAGACGACACATTCTTACAATAGGGTTGTAGTAAGATGTATTATTTATATGAACATCTAATATGAAACTCCTGAGGTGAGGTTGGCGACTTCTAAATTTAATATTAAAATTAATTGAGGATAACAAGTCAGGGCTATCCACTGATGAATGAAGAATATTGTATCTGGAATATTTCATAGAAAACAGAATGCAAAATGTTGTAATAATAAGATTGAAATGTATTAAAATTGTGGATATTTTTAAAGAACCAAAGAAGCATAGAAAATGTTATATGTATTTTATTGTATAATGGTAATTGATTACATTTATCTGTAACTGTTTGTTTAGTCGAAAACACATAATCTTCATATTAAATGTAAATTAAGAGAATTACAAATCTTGTAGAGGCTGGGTATTACTTTTTAATATCATTCCATTATCAGTTACAACTGTCGACCCTGTCATGCCCTTAGCTTTGTCACTGGCTAAATACATAATCAGATCGGCAATTTCTTCAGGTTCGGAAATTCTATCAAGAGGAGGACTATGCATTTGGCCGAAAGTAGCTTCTGCAACTTCTTTTGTTGCTCCCATATTTTCAACTATATCAGTTCGCACAGGTCCAGGATTAACAACGTTGACACGAACACCGCTCGGGGCCAGTTCAAGGGCAACCGCTTTACTGAAGTGATCAAGTGCAGCCTTTGAAGCGCAGTATGAGAAGAAATCCTTAGCCAAAACTACAGATGAAGCGACACTGGATACGTTGACAATGTTTCCTTTCGTTTTCACAAGATGAGGCGCAGTAAGATGTGTCAAATATACAGATCCACGCAGGTTTGTTGACATGACTTGATCGAATACTTCAAGTGCACGGTCAGATAAAATACTGACTGGTGTTGCTATGCCAGCATTGTTTACCAAAATATCGATCTTTCCTAAATATCTTATGGTATCGTCAATAACTCTTTTAGCGTCATCGTCTTTGGACACGTCAGCAATGATGACTACAGGATTACCGCATTTTTTCGCAACGTTATTCAGTTTTGTTTGATTCCTTCCCACTAAGGCTACTTTAGCTCCTTCTGCTGCAAACTTGATGGCAGTGGCAGCTCCAATGCCAGAACTAGCGCCCGTCACAATCACTACTTTGTCTTGAAAACTCATGATGTTATACCGGTTGCACGTTAACTATGTACTGGATATTTAGTTTTTGTACAGCTGTTTTATATCACAGTATAATTTGACGCGTATAAATACTGCTATCAACAAAATTATCAGTGATAATGACATTTATCTTAATACAGTGTTATAAATTAGGTACAACTGGTCGTAGTAGGTACAATATAAGTATCAACAATTTGAAAAAATTCTAAAAAAAATCACGTTATGTGTTGTATTATACAGATCTATTCACCCTATTGATAAGATGAATAGATTCCTTTTTGTGATATAAATAACTGACACTACATAATCTAATATTTGTTTCAAAATTAGAATTGTTAGAATCCCGTGACATCTCATTTGGGTATTGTACCGCTAAAGATCAGAAATAATTTAAAAATAGTAATAAAATATAAGGTGCATATTCACCCTGGTCATCTTTAAAAATAACCTGTAGACATTCAGAACACAAAAAATGCTTATGCATAATCGGAAAATTGCTAACTTTTATATAAACAGTAGCCCCCACATTTAATCCGCTTACAAGCCCAACCTCAAAATAAAAATAGAAACAAGAAAAATCCTGTCCGTGCATTCATTCCTGTTTTGGGCGAAACCATTACATTGGCTGACTAGACCATTGGCCGGCTTACCATCCGCCTTTTAAAACGAGGATTTACTTGTGCTGGCTTATATTCGCCATTTGCTTGACGACAGGTCGTGACCGTCTTCCATTTTATTAAAGCGATGTGGGTTATTCTCATTCCACCGTGCGATTTATTAGAATTATCATTTTGTTGACTTGGGTCAGATTGTGAAAAAAAGGACAGATTTCCGCTTACCTAATAGTAAATAGTAAAAGATGTTGTCGAATTGATTTTAAAATTGTGTTTTTTTCAGTTAATAAAATTTTCATTATTTGTTCAGAATCTAGTATAATGCTCCAAATTTTTGTATGTTAATGTAATGTCAATAAAACCAGAGAAAGGAGGCGTGACATTACATTTTGCGCTATTTTTATTAGTCAGTTATTTAAATTAAATTAATACGTATAATATAGGTACATAATTAATGTAGACGAAAAAAATAAGAAATAAAAAAAAATACTCTCGAAAAAAGAGCTTCAGCGTCAGTTTGAAAACATTACGAAAATTTCGGCAAAACATGTTGAGAACTTACTCATTGAGTAACTTAAGGATGTTGCAAAACTTCACATACACATGGTGTTGTCAGACAAGGCTGCGGTGTACAAAGTTGTTTTATGTTGTAAAATTAGCATTTATTGTTTCTCTTCATAAGTTTACGACGAAACTTTTGGATGTTACAGTAAATGTTAGCTTTTCTTGTTGGGTAAACGGAGAGGTGTTTGGTGTCGTGATTGAGTTGTTATGAGTTTGCTTCGGAGCGTTGGTAATGTCATTCCTGATTAGATTTAAGGTTCCGCTGATAATAATAATTTGAATAACCAATTATTTTAGGTATAAGTATCTTATTCCTAAAAAGTAAAGTAACATTTTATATTTTAGTAAAAACTAGACTATAAAATGTCGTACTTCATACACGAAAATAATTTCTATAATTTTAAATTTTTTAAAAGAAAACTTTATTTTTATTACGAAATTTTATTTATTATTTAGCTAAGAAACTTGATATAAGATGTCACTTTAAAATTCGTTAGAAAGAAACTTTAGAGGGCAGACGATTGATTATTATTTTAGGGTCTTCAGAATCAGGTTTGACCTTCAAATTATGTCTATTTTTTATTATTATTATGTAAACTTCTAAAGTTTGTTATCTAGTATAGATAACGTTCTAGAATCTCTAGGTGTTGACATTCTTTGGGTATGTTTCAGAATGTCTGCATAGACACAGTCACTATGTTTTAGACATATTTGAATTTAGAACGTAATTTCTGTGAGATATGTGCCATATAAGTTATCGGATACTTAGAAGAAGACTGTGAAGTAGGCTCTTAGTCTTCTTGACTGGTTACATATATAGGCTTATAGATGATTGGTGAATTAAGTGTGAAATCCTGTAACTATAATGGTTAGCACTATTTTGAAGGGGGGAAAATCATCCACTAACTTCTCCCACTCTGAGTGGCGCGATCCTTCTTCTGCTCCAAAGGACAAAACCCGCTTGCATTTAGAATTAGGTTACTTTATTTCAGTTTTTACTTGCGTTAGCATTTGATATAACAGGAGACTTCAAATCCAAAATTTATCATCGATAATGTTCGTACATTTTCTATTTTGCACAAGAAAAACGATATAAAGTAAACATTTTTATGCACGAAAATGTTTCCCTTTATACCCCAGAAGGCACAACGCGCTCTCCAAACTACATACTCATAGCCACAGGTAAAGAACAAGGCCACCCCTATGCGGAATTATAAAAAATATCGAGCATCCCTCGATGGCATTTTTATTACACCGCAAAATAATGACGGTCTCTTTGGCGGACCAACGTTTTTAGACCGGAATATATTTTGCTACGGGCGCTTATAAATGAAGAATTCTGAGTTATGTTATACAGAGATTATCAGGAAGGGTTAAAATATGGTGTAATAGACTAGGTTTTCTAAGGATTTGATTTGCATAAAGCGGTCTTTACAAAGCTTCAAGGAACAAAAATAAAGAAAAGGTGTCTTTTTTATTTTATGTAGATATGAAACAATCTAGTAGTCAGTTGGCTGAACTACGTTACGTTCTATCATGATAGCTGAGCTTCTAGCGATGCTTGAAACTAGTCGAAGTATCTTGCCAAAAAATATTATGTGAGTTATACACATTTCATTCAGGTACAAAATACTTTTCTTTTTGGAGCTGAAAGTTATAGGAACTCATTTAAGTCATAGAATAAATTGAACTACTATAACTACGAACAATTTAAGTTAAATAAGATTTAAGCAGTTATTCGAGTGCATTCAGAAATGTTCGCAGCGTAAGTACCTGCCTGAAACTGCGAACAATGCAATCTGGTCTAGACATCAGTTTACGTTCAAACTCTGTGTATTTTGAAATGTTTCGCTTTCGTAGATAAAGAGAAATATTATGTTATACTTTGTAATACCAGTACAATGCAATAAAAACAAAATTAAATTAGAGGCAATTTACGTTTTTGCCTTGTTAGACTGACTACCTTTACTAATTTAACTTTTGGTAAAACATATTGAAACTTTTTAAGATCTTACTTGTGACCTTAGTTGTAAAAGTTGCATAGTTTTATTGGGCAAAAAATAATCAAATTGGTTTTCCAGACCTAGGTATGACGAAAGGCACTTACTTACTATAAACCATCTTGCTCTTCTTCTTCTTATTCTTTCTCTTCTTCTGCTCTGGGCTGGAGTTGTGATACAATATTTGGCTTTTCGCCGTAAGCCTGGCTGATACATCATAACATATATACTGTATGTATACATTTTTGTTACTTTCTGCCTACATTCACGATTATTTTCAGGAACACTTTTAATTTTACGTGCCACTAACATTAAAAGATTCATCAACAATATGACCTCGTTTCACAAAAGATGAGGCCTGATTTTTTTGACATATACGACGGCAAGTAGGTCTGTATGTAGACCACCTAATGTAAAGCAATCGGCGTTGCATGTGGGTATCTACCACGTAAGAAAAGTTCGTCTTGAAGGTTGTTAGAGATTTGAGGATTGTATGATTGGGGAAGGGAAAGCAAACGCAAGGTCTTTTTCATGCTGGTTCTCTGTTAAGGTGTGGTATCACGACGATCTGGCTTATTCGTACCGAAGCATACCTCTCTACACTTTTGTTGAACTTATATGTTTTAAGTGTTTAATTATACTTTGTAAAATGACTACCATCGTAATTTCATTATTTTACACTTTGCAACGTGTCACCAATTTTATTCCAACACGGACCAACACTTTGTGAGATCTACAAATTGTTATTTCGGGTCTAGGTGTAAAGTGAATGTTTGTAAACGCACCCCCGGCGTCGGGGATCGAGAGACGATCTCCGGCTACCGTAAGCATGGGTCTGCGGACGGCGAGTAAGGGTAGTTCGCCGTGCGACCAGAACCAGACACGAGCGTACAGCGCGTAGCGTTCCGCGCGCGCCTCAAAGAGCCAATAGACCACAACAGACGGGGCCCTATAGGGCTGATGTTCAGCCGGGGTTGCGGGGTTAGCGCAATGAGGCACCGCGATTGCGGCCCAGAGAAGGAGTAGGAACAGGGGTTAGTCTGTAAGAGTCTGTCCTCCTGCCCGACCCTGGCCGGAGGGAGGTAATTTGATGATTTTCCCCTCACAAAAAACAAAAAAAAACCGACACGGGTAAAAACTCAATAAGACAAATGCACCATAGAAATCACAAAAATAGCAGGGAAATCGTTTCAGAATATTAAGATTCCTATTCTTCACTCGTTTACTCAATCATGTTTTATTCAGGCATCGTACATCTCTGCCGGTGACTGGTTAAAGACGCCGTACACGTTTCCCTGTGGTAGTGGTTCCCAACCTTTTTAATGGCAGACCTTCACAAAACCACAATGGGAATCGTAATAAATGTTAGTAGTACATATGTTTTAGGTTTTATTCTTAGACAATATAATAATAAAAAGTATAATACTAAAACCCAACTACGACAAAACCGACGCTGAATAAGTTGTTTAGAAGTTAGGAGGGAACAGATGAACATACATACATACATACATACATACATACATACATACATACATACATACATACATACATACATACATACATACATACCTACATACATACATACATACATACATACATACATACATACATACATACATACATACATACATACATACATACATACATACCTACATACATACATACATACATACATACATACATACATACATACATACATACATACATACATACATACATACATATCCAGTCAAAATCAGAAGTCTCCTTTTGCTTTGCCGTAGTCAGGAAAAAAAACGATACAGTAAATCTATTTTTTTTTTAATCTTTATTTTCTTAATCATGTTAAAAATACTCATAAAATATATAGTGCTGAGGCATAGCTCGAGAGATCCATGTTTCGGCACATATGAGCTGGTTCGATCAGAAGGATACAATT